GTGTGTGTGTGTGTGTGTGTGTGTGTGTGTGTGTGTGTGTGTGTGACTGTGTCTCCAAGTACCTGGCTGTGCACGTGTGTGTACCCCCCGAGTGTGGCTGTGTCTCTGGGTCCCTGGCTGTGGGCGCTTGTGTGTCCTGGGCTGTACCTGAGGGAGTGTCCCCGGTGCCTAGAGGGCCAAACAGCCTGAGCTGGTTCTTCAGGGCAGGCACTGAGCGGGGAGAGGTGATAGGGCGGCATGGCTCCAAGGGTACCGCCTGTGTGCAGTCTGCAGGTGGCAGTGCCAACATCCAGCCGTCTTGAGGGACAGCTGGGGGCCAAGTGGGCGGTGGGCAGGGACAAGAAGACACTCCTCTTGACTTTTCCCCTTCCTTCTGGGGGTTCCTCTTTCGAGCAGGCAGAAGGTTCTCTTCCTGCTTTTACCAGGGAAGCCAGAGAGAGAATCTTAGGGATCTCTTCTATAGCCCCAAAGCTTCAGCCTGTATTGGAGGGGGGACACTCAGAGGGAGGTGTGTGCTCGGCTGGGCCACCAGCCTGGCTATTTTGGTCACTGCCAGGCCTCTGCCAGAGCCCGGCCTTCCCCAGGACCAGCCCCAAAGGCTTGGGAGGCAGCCCAGGCCCCCATTTCCTGCCTGGTGAAATAAATCAGCTCAGTAACCATTCAGACACTTGAACTGAGGGTCTTCAGGCTGAGATTTTGAGGTTTAGTGGCGCGTGGCTCCATTTGGACTTTGGTAAATTGGCCCACGCTTCGGCACTGCTGACGTTCAAATAAATGTCATGGAGGAGATCTTTTTTAAATTTCTTTTTAATTTTTTTCTTGGCTGGAAGGGAGGGGATCTCATCCAGAGTCTCCCAGCCAGAAGGAGTTTATTTTTATGAGAGAGCGCCTGAGTACTTAGCAACCGCCTGCCTCCCTCTCGACCAGGGAGTCATCCAGGGAGTGTGGGGTGGGCATGAGGAGGTGTGGGGGTGGAGTGGGGAAGGAATTTCATTAGGATGTTGGGAGTGAGAATTAGAGGGGGCCTGAGGGCACTGGCTGATGAGCAGCCACTATAGGATAGGATTGGCAAAGTGTCTTGAGGTCTTAGGCCTGGCTCAGCTACCAGTTGACTTGAGGTGACCTTTTTTTTTGGTTCAGGTTCCTCATCTGTAAAATGGGTGGAGTAGACTGGTTATGAAGTAAGCAGAATCTAAGAGGCAGGAGCATGTCCCCAGGGAGCTGAGTTCAAGTACTGTGCCTCTGTCTCAGTAGGCAGATGACCTTGGGTGATTCCTTGGGCCTCTGGCAGCAAGGACATTAATGTCAGCCTCACTGTGTCCTTGAGGGGATTGAGGGAGATGAGGCAGAATAAGCTTGTGGTAAGCTGTAAAGCCGGGCTTGGCTTCAGAGCTGCCAATTAGAGGGTGTCACGATTAGGGAATATCACGAGGTTCCAGGTCACCGTGGTATGTGGCAAGGGCTAAAGCACACCCTCGGGCTTTTGTCCTTAGGGAATACTCTTATATTAACCTGTGGCATAGCCACAGTAAACCTTCCTTGCCCTATCCCTTTCAGCTCATTCTGCTGTGGTTGGGTCACATCTACTTTGCATAGTTGGGAGGCCCTAGTGAGTAGTACCCATTTTACAGATGGGCAAACTGAGAGTTGCCCAGAGGACAGCAGCTTGACTGGATAGTGGCAGGATTAGGCATCAAAGGCCTTCCTTTGGCCAGCTGTGAGTTTTGGCTCCATGAAGTTTTAGTAACTGATGTCTTGGGGAGTTGAAATTGGACCAGGACCTGGGGAAAACAAAGGACAAAGGTACCCTGGTCAACGGGGTTGGAGGGTGAGTGCGTGGGACTTATTGGCACCTTGATTCTGTCCCTAGTTATCCATTCTTCCTTCTCTGTGCCTTATCTGGGAGCCCTTCCACTCTTCTTACACAAGTGTCAGCCCCCCAGGAGGCAGTTTGGGCCCCAGGGGTGGCATTATCTAATTCCAATTTGTTCACCTGTCAACCTGTCAAAGGACTTAGGGGTTGTACTTATCTGAAAGTCTTTCCAAAGTTCCCAAAATTATATGACGCTTGAGTCATCGAACATACTCCTGTATTTAGGAACTATCTGAAAAATAAATCACAAGGAGAGCCTGGACTGCAGCTTGGCTGCAGCTGGAGGAGGTCTAGGTGAGAATTAGGGCTGGTCTTGGACCCCCGGGGTCACTCCTGCAGGAACAGCCTGATCCCCCATTTCTGCAAAAGGTCATCAGCCAGAGTCAGGTTCTTTACGGCTGCATTGCACCCCTCCATGCTGGCCAGCTTATCTTGACCAAAGTGTTGGTGTGAATTTGTGTGCTCTGAGAATGCTCAGTGGCCTTCAAATGTGAGTGAGAGCTCTTTTTTAATGTGCCTTATTTAGTTGGTTAATAAACCTTGCTAAAGTCAGTTCTGGCCAGGCACTGGATTCAGGGTAGAATATTGGCTTTTGAGGAGCTCATAGCCCAGAGGAAAAAGGACAGTGTGGCAGCAGCTATGACCATGCTGTGCATGGGGTGCAGTGAAGAAGACTTGGTGTGCCTTGATGGCAGGGTCTAGGCAGGAGACACTTCAGCTTCTTAGAGGAGGTGATGTCAGAGTTGGCATCTGAGCGGAAGAACAGGATGGGCTGGCATTCTGGGCAGGGGGCACAGCAGGTACAAAGGCACGAATGCACCTCCCAGGGGCCCAGCTGGAGAGAACAGGAGCCAGCTGGTCGAGGGCCTTGAGTGGTGAGTAAAGGAGCTTGGGCTTTATTCCGATGGCAGCTGGGATAGAAATAGCATCAGACTGGGTTTGGAGACAGCAGTGGATAAGGCAATTAAACGCGGGAGCTCAGGAGACCCCTGATGGTAAATGAAGAACTAGGTTGGGGTCTAGAAGACCCAGGGTGGCCCAGTCACTGCTTGCTGGTCAGGGCACAAAGCATTTTCTGTGCCAATGAATCTTGCCTTGAGCTCTTTTTGTAAACACAGGGTGAAGGCCTGGACATGCTGTTTAACAGGTACACAGGCCATTAACTCCCTGGCTTTGACCTCCGCGGGAGCATGCGGCCCTGGCCTCTTTACGGTGAGGTGTGCCTGTCCTAGACAGGGCTTCAGGATCTCCTTTCTCACCTCACCTGGCCAAAGCCTTCATTTGGAAACCAGAGTGGAGGGGCAGGGGTTAGCAGTGGCGGGAAGCCAGCAGAGTGAAAACTGCTATTGTGTTTCGAAAGCTTTGTGATCAACCAGTTCTCTTTTGTGAAAACCAATATACAAATAACTCAAAAACAATAAAGCAGGTTGGGGGTATATAGGGGGCAGGGGGTAGCAGCAGGAATTCTACTCAGGCATCAGAATTACTTGAATTACTTTTCACAAATCCGGATTCCCAAGCCCAGCCTGGACATACTGAATCAGAATCCCTCAGGGTGGAGCCTGGGAATCTGTACTTTAAAAACTTTTTTTTCATTAAAACAATAGTTTTAAATCGAGATATAATTTACATGCAATGAAAAGCAGAGATCCTGTTACAGTTTGATGAGTTTTTACGAATTTATACACCTGTGTAACTACCACCCAGATCAAGATACAGAGCATTTCCAGCTCCCCCAGAAAGTTATCTGTGCCCTTCCCCTCCCAGAGGGAGCCAGTTTCTGATTTCTATCACCATAAATGAGTTTGGCCAAGCCTAGAACTTCATACGAATGGACTTGAATGGCCTATACTCTTTTGTGTCTGGCTTCTTTCTGCCTGACGTTTTGAGATCCAACCATGTTATGTAGCTATGTATCAATAGTTCATTCCTTTTATTGCTAAGTAGAATTCTGTTGTATAGATGCATCCATTTGTTTATCCATTCTCCTGTGGATGGATATTTGGGTTGTTTCCAGATTAGAGTGATTATGAGTAACACTTCTATGAGCATTTGTATATAAGTCTTTTGTGGGTGTATATTTTTATTTTTCTAGGAGTGGAACTGCTGGGTCATTAGGCAGAGATATGTTAATTTTATAGGAAACTGTCAAAGGATCCTCTTTTAACTGCAGAAAGTAATACATCTCAAGCAATATAAAACTATAAAGTAAAGGTGATCTTTAAAGATCATTTTTAAAAAAGTGCAGTCTAATCTTCAGTCTATCTGACAACCTATCAACGGTCTCTTTCTATAGAGGCCTTTAAGATTATACATTTTCCTTGCCTATAGCTTTAACTGTATCCCTAAGATGTCTACATGGATGTTTACTCCTTTTTATTACTTTCTAGATCAGTTTTCATTTCGGTTTTGATTTCCTCTTCCATCTAGAGGTTATTTAGGATCTGTAGTTATTCAGGATTTAAGCTAGCTATGGTTTTGCTGTTAATTGAAAATGGCATCATACTGTTCTTGGTTCTGCCACTCTATTGAATAAACAACAGACCGTTGTAGAACCGCTGCTTTTCAGAATATACAGATCTTCCGGGCCATTCTGAACAGCTAGTGTGCATTTGGGAATCACTGATCTAAGCTGGTCTGTCTTAATCACCCTGAGTGCTGCCAGCTCAGTGAATGAAAAGCTTCCACTTTATGACCTTGAACTTGCCCTGAAGGTGGGTAGAGAAGCAATCTGAGGCCATTCAGCATCCTGTGATG